AAAAACAAAATTATTTTATATTCTAACATAACATAACATAATAAAAATAATATATATATATATATATATATATATATATATATATATATATATATATATATATATATAATTACAAAAATAATTATATATATATATATAATAATAATAATAATAATAATAATAATAATAATAATAAACTAACATAACCAAGGTTATCTTACATTACCTAAGATTTTGAAGGGAATCACATTCCCTTCAAAATCCTATGTGGAGGGAATGTGACATTTCTTGGAAATGTTAGATTCCTTAAGATAATATGAACCAAACACCGAAATGTGAACTTTGGAATGTCACATTCCCTTGGTTATGTTATATAACCTGAACCAAACGCCCCCTTATTTCTTTTTCTCTCAAATATCTCTCCTCTCTCGCACTTCCCCCTTCCCCCTTCTGCAATTCTGTTTCTTCTTCTTCTTCCCCCTTACTGTTCTGTTCTTGCTCCCCTTTTCCCTGCTTCATTTTTTTTTTCTTTTTTTTTTTTTTTTCTGCTTCATTCTAAGTTTCATTACATTTGGTATCAGAGCCCCATCTGTGGGAACAGCCCTATCCCTTCACCATGGAAGCTCAGACGACCGAAGTAAGAACCAAAATTGATACGCAACACATCTGCTCCTCCGATTTGGTGGAGAGAATCATGGCTTAGATGGAGTCTAGGTTGTCCAGCTAGAGAGATGAGATACTGGAGGCGATTAGACTCTACCCATCGGCTTCCCCGGTTCTGAATGAAGATTTAGGGGATTTCGCCGGCGATCCAGGAGCGGCGAGCTTCGCCGGCGATCCAGGAGCGGCGAGCTTCGCCGGCGATTCAGAAGCGACGAAGCCAGTTGAGGAAGCAAATGCAAGCTACTTGAACTCTGAATCCCTTTCCCAACTCAAGAGATGGCGATTCTCCATTTTCAATAATGATGTTTGAGTAGGATTCCATGCCCATAGCTACAGCAGCTCATCGTCATCAAAATAATAAGCCCCAACAAAAAGCCCCACCACAAGGAGACTCCAGCAAAAGCGGCCAAGAATGCGAATTAGAAGAGATCCCTTCAGAAGGAGTGCAACGCAGATCAGAGATGGTTGCATATGTGGCTGCTGCATCAGCAATTACTGCAGTGATGGCTGCAAACCGGGAGGTTGATGTAAGTGAAAGTGCTACTCCTTGCTTAGTAGAGAATGATATGCATAAGAATAGTCTTCCATTTCTTAAAGAAATTAAGGATGAAATTACTGCTCACAATTTGGGTATGCATGAGGTGATAAACTGCTATGAAATTGTTTGGGGGGATTATGTGATTTTGGGTGGAAAATTTCCAGTGGTGAACACAGACTATGCATCTGTGGTAAGAATAGTGAAAGTTTATGTGGAAAAGTATATCTTACATGTTGATCCTAAAATGCCAATGTGTTGTGAAACCTATAACAATGCTGAAATTGTGGGAATGGATTATGTGGGCTGGATTGAAGAAATTTCAGAGATGAATATTGATTTTGCCTATCTCGCAAAGATTGTTTTAACTACTATGAGGGGGTGCTGCAAGATGAAGTGAAATTGGATTTCTTCTATGGCAATCCTAGAATGCAAGGGTGCAGTAAATTTCCTTTTGATCCGGGAGGAATGCTTAAAATTATTGTTGTTTGTTGCTGCAAGTTTTTACTACTATTGCTCGTTGTTGTTGTGATGTTAATTGTTTTGGCTTGGTATGATGGAGATGAAGGTGGTGATAAAAAGCTCAATGAGTTGGGAGAGTATTTGACTACAATTGTTGGTGTAATTTGTGCTCATGTTGGGTTGATTCATGTGAGGTACTTCCTCTCTTGGGAGTTTGTGGATGGATGGCATAGGACTTTTTGAGAAGTGCACTATCATTTTAAAATTGTTGATTGCTTTGGCTGCCATTCCAAAAGTGTTGAAACGTTTGGTTGCACAGAAGTGACTGCCAATCTGATGTCAGTGGAAACAAAGATTGGTCATTAGGAATGATGGATTGTAGATTGCAGCTATCTGCAAGATTCTAACAGTAAACCAGAAGAGGGTTGAGCATAACTGTTCCTTATTGTAATTTGAGCTTTGAACTTTCTGAGGAAATAGAGGTTCAGAAAGAAGTGACAGTTCGTCTTCCTATCTCAAGTGTGAACACCTTAACTAAAATGCCTAGTCCTTCTTGTTCACAGAATTCCCTTCCTTCACTGAAAATCAGGTACATGGACATGGTAATTTTGATTTGGGAAGAAGTGTGCCTAAGAACAATTCAGGAGATCTTGCTAGATGTGTGAACAATGTCCAAGAATCTCCCTATTATGATGACTATTCAAGTGTGCACTCAAATTTTCTTTGCTTGATCCTTGGGGACAAGGATTTATTAGAGGGGAAGGTACTGTAACGCCCCGGAACTTCAGAAGAAAAGAAAAGCCGAGTCAACCCGAACCGACAATCGTACAACGCCATTTTACTCTTTGAACCGTTAGTCTGTTAGTTGTTAATAGATATTTCCATTCTTATTAGCATAGATTGTATTGAGAATTTTATGCTTGGAATTAATCAAAACTATATATTATTTCTTTTTCTCTCAGATCTCTCTCTTCTCTCTCGCACTTCCCCTTCCCCCTTCTGCAATTCTGTTTCTTCTTCTTCTTCCCCCTTACTGTTCTGTTCTTTCTCCCCTTTTCCCTGCTTCATTCTAAGATTCATTACACCATCCCTCTCTTCCTCCAATTAAGGGTTTTTAGGTTCGTTCCATCATAATAGGTTAGCACTTCAGCCATTCTTGGAGCCGCAGACGAGCTAAGGAGATGACCCTGCCTTCTAGTCAAACACAAATTAGAGAGGTTTTGGAGTAGTATCTATTGTCGGTATATGGAGTAGTATCTATTGTCGGTATATGGAGTAGTATCTAGTCCACTTGGTTCTAACATTGTTGTTCAAACAGCAAGATGAGCTTTTACAGGTCTTTTTATTTATTTATTAACTCTTTTTGAAGATTAGACCACTCTTATTTACGAGGCTTCACCAGCAGGTTGATTGATTGTCATAGTTTCCATTGACAGCTGACTAGAATGTTTAGCAACTATTTTCACTAAATATAAGATCATTTGATGGGAAAAAGAAGATAAAAGGTAGCATATTACCCTCAAGTACATAATATCTTGTAGCATGTTTATTGGATGATGGTATATTTGTGCTCAAACAAGTCTTTATGCTAGAATAGTAATTTAATTGGTGAATTACTGAATTTTGTTATCAGTTGGTTAACAATTGACAAGTATGAAAGCTCTTGTCGATTATTCATTTGAGTAATTGCCCTTAATTTGTCTTCTTTAGATACTTTGGGGTTGATATCAGTGCCATTATTGAGTATGCAACCAAATGTGGTGACATTCAACATGTGCGTGCTGAAATAAGGTTGGTAATAGAATATGCTAATTGTTTGAATTGTTTCATGATGGTAGGCATCATATGAAAATGTATAAAGTGCTGTTTCTTAATCCCACTTTCCCCAGAAACTTTGTTTATTGAAAAGGAATAAATACTTAGAAGACACCTGGCAGGCCTGCAAGAATCAAGCATAAAGAAGCCTAATAAAAAAACAAGAAGAAAATAAACACACTACACACACACTTTTCTGGTGCTATAATTTTCTTATCAGTATGGGTATCAAATCTACAACTTATTTTGTGACTCACATAGATTTACATATTTGGTATATATGCATACATGTAGGATTTGGGCTCTATGATTCTTTACTAAAAATCAAATCTCATATTTGTCTTTATTTTTTGTTCTGGCCTTCCCATACAGAGCAAGAGGAAAATTCCTATCTATGTGAGGTAGAAATTGACAATATTTGAAATCTGCATAAAGTTTGACAAGTCTGTTGCAATATGTGCTGGAGAAAATATATCATGCTTGAATCAGATGTGATGGTGCAATTTACTAAAGGCAAGGTGAATTTAAGGATTAACTTGATGACGCAGGGATTTTGATGCATTTGATTTAAGGATGCGGCTTCCAACTGTGGTATAGCTTACATACTATACAGTTGTGGTATCCGTTTCTTTCTTACCTCAAGTAATGCAATATTATCTTTCATGAACTATGGACACTGCTGGTATAGAAGATTCTCCACTCACAAACTTCCTCAATTTGAAGGGACACTTGAGTTCAAAGCTCAACCATTGTGGTCCACCATCCTCAACTGGGAGCATGACTTCAGCATCTTCCACTAATACCCCTAGGACAGTAAATTTTGACTTTTTTGGCTAGACCATAACAATCTATCAGAGTTAGAGGATATTCAGCAGGTTTGTCATTATCTTCTATTTTTAAATTTCTGATTATTATGAACAACGTTGTTAATTGAAAAGAGAAGTCATGTTTCACGTAATTCATACTGCAAATTTATTTATTTTTTTGGAACAGATAGAGACATAAAACATCCGCATTCATTACTTATCTTTATTATGAGAGAAGGAAAAGAGAGAGAGGGGGTCTAATAGGTGATGAGAGTGAAATGAAAAATGTCTAATAGGTGGGGGTCTAATAGTTTGAAAACAATTTGGAATAAGAAAAGTCTGCATCATCTCCTTTTGAGTTCAGCTAGAGTATTTCATATTTAGGTACTTCTCTAAGTAATGCATCTTCATTATGCCATTTCAGGTTCGATTTTTCTATTCATTCACCAGTAGAGACTACCTTTATTTGGTTATGGAATATCTTAATGGAGGAGACTTGTACTCACTGCTCAGAAAAGTTGGTTGCCTTGAGGAAGATGTAGCTCGCATTTATATTGCAGAGCTGGTACTTTATGAAAGCAATTCATATACAAAATTATTAGTCTTTTGTAATTTAAATTTCCTTCTCTTTCAGGTCCTTGCTCTGGATTACCTTCATTCTTTAGGAATACTTCATCGTGATCTCAAGCCCGACAACATACTAATTGCACAAGATGGGCATATAAAGGTAGGTTTAACAAAATGGAAAATAGACCTTCTATACACAAAATTACCTGGCTAAAAATTGTTGTAAGGCATGCAATGCACCAGAGTGTTATTAATTTCATGTAATAGTGCTGATATTATTGTGAGTACGAATTTGCTTTCAGTTTCTCATCATTTTTATCACCTTCCTTGCCTGTGTAGGACTGGTTCTTTGTCTTTGTTTTGATACAGTTTCTCTATCTATCATTTCTCTTTTCCATCTAATAAGAAATAAATTCCTTATTTTCACCGTACTGTAGAAGCATCACTGAAATGGCTTCTTTGTGGACATTTTAACCAAATTTCATTTACTGATCTATATGTAATTGCTGTGTAACTTCTTTGTATTATCACTAAGATACAATTCTTTATTTTGTTTAAAATGTTCAATCATAAGAGCATGGTTTACTGGAAGTATTCCTGATTCTTTGTCTTCCCTGAGTCAATTATCAACTATGTAAGTTTCTCGCCACAATGTGTGTTGCATGTCTTTGTTTTTCATAATCAATATTTTGCTTAGATATAAATCTGCATGTCTTCCAGGTCTCTGAACGAAAACCATTTGAGTGGAGAGCTTCCTGATTCCTTTCAAGGACTTACAGCTTTGGTCAATTTGTATGACACCCCTTTTACTGTATGCTGCTTTAAATAATTGTTCTGACTTTTGTCCTCTCATTTTGAGAGAATGAAATGAACTTGCATTGCTTTATTTCTTGTTCGTTCATTCATTGTCCTCTAGATTGCAAAAAATGCTTAGAAATATATAGATAAGAACTTAAAGATTGTCATTTCATTTAAATTTTAATTGATATGCCAGTTAGTTGACTCATACTAGCATAGTTGGAGCTTAGTTTGTGCTGTATGTTCTCCTTTATTCAATATATATAAATCAGCTTATTAGATGCATCATGACTTGTTATTATAGTCAGGATTTAAAGGGTATCCACTTCAATTAAATTATATCTTTTTTGTATTCATTATAGTTTTTATTGTGTATGTTTAAGACTATTATTCTGATAGAATTGGTGTGCTGTTGTGTATATCTTAATTTGATTAATGTTGAATTATATTATTTGTTTGATACTTTGGACGCTGATTGTTCAAGCAACTTTGGACGCGTATTAGCCTTAACTTTGGACGCGAATGACTGTTTTTGTACTAGTGTAAGATTCACACACACTGGTAGAATGTTCCGCGCACAACGCCAAAGCAAGTTACGTACTTTGGGAGTTGCATGTACCTTCCAAATTTGATCCCAAGCCTGGAACTGCAACATGGTGTGCTTGTTTGGTTATGTCGATACCAGCCTATGATACCCGCTTTTAACTGTGTAGTAGCTCCGGCAATCATCCCGCCAATACCAATCATCTTGGAATTCTGGGCAGATAGGTGTGTTGATAATTCTATGGATGTCCTCAGGAGCAAATAAATTGGTTATAATCTCTGTATCCCAATTGTTTGTAGTAGTCATAAGGCTTGAAACCTTTGCATTCCTTAAGTGTGGTATACCGTCAGTATGAAGGTGGGGATCTTCTTTACATGCCAGCCACAGCCCCAGATTTCAGTGTCAACCCCATTGCTAATTTGCCGTGACAGACCCTCTACTAACAGTCTAACAGGCTTTTACAAGACATGATACTTCTCTAAATGTAACTGGGATTGTTGCCCAACTCCTCCTCCAGGAAGTTAGTCGAATTAGGGCGCATCAGCAGGCGCCATCCCTGTTTAGCTAGTAAAGCAACATTAAACTCATCATGTTTTTTAAAACCTAAACCACCATGGCATTTTGTACACAGTCTCGTCAAGCTCAGCCAATGAATGCCTTTGGAATTTGTTCCTCCCCCTCTCCACCAATATTTGTTCATGATCCTCTCCAGACTAGTACATAAAGTTTGCGAAAGCAAAAATACACTCATGGTAAAGGTTGCATTACTTGGGCCACGCTCTTTAAAAGGACCTCTTTCCTTGCATGTGAAAGAATTTTCTTATGCCAACCCCCAATGCAATCCCGATTTTTCCTTCAATGTACCCAAAAATATTCCTTTTATTCCTACCTAAACAAGAAGGGAGATAAGATAATTACCAAAGTTGTGCGTTTGCTGCACCATGAATAATGTAGCTATCTGGTCTCTCGTATGTTTAGTGGGGTATTTGTACTTAAAGAGATGCTAGACTTCTGAAAGTTAACGCACTGGCCTGACATAAGCTCATAATTACCTAGACGCATTCCCGAATTCAGACAGCTTCAATATTAGTGGCCTTGAAGAATAGAAGACTGTCATCTCCAAAAAAAAGAGATGTGATATTGAAGGAGCACCTCTTGCAATTCTATAGCCATGTATGTCACCATGCCTTTTAGCCTCCTAAAGAGAATGCGAGAGACCTTCTGCTCAAATTATTAACAAATGAGGAGAGATCGGATCCCTTTGCTTAATGCCTCGAGAAGGGGACACACTGCCTACTACTGAACCCTTAACCAATACGTTGTATTTCACGGTTGTGACACATAGCATAATCAAATTAATCCAACGAGAGGCATAACCAAGTTCAGTCATCATGCTATGTAGAAATTCTCATTCCATGTGGTCATAAGCTTTAGTCATATCAAGCTTTAATGCTGGCCAACCAACCTTACCTATGCTTTTTCGTTTCAAATAATGACCGACCTCGGAAGCTATCATAATATTGTCAGTTATGAGTCTTCCCTGAATGAAGGCACTCTGTGACTAGGAGATAATATCACCTAAAGAGGCTTTCATTCGATTGGCTAAGACTTTGGCAACGACCTTATAGACAAGGTTACAAAGTGCAATAGGTTGTAGGTCCACTACTTTTACCGGGACCTTTTCCTTTGGGACTAAGACAATATTTGTGTCATTTAAGCCTTCCGGGAGTCTACAATGTTCTAGACAGTCAAGAGTAAGCAAAGTTAAGTCAAAAGTTTATAGAATTTAAGTATGAAGAAAATGTATGATAATGAAGAAAACAATAATATGTTGAATTTAGTGAATTATAAGGTTTGTAGAGTTTAAATATGGATGGAAAAGGTAAATAGAGTTTAATTTAGGACTTTAGGTAGAGAGTGAAATTTTAAATTGGAAGAATAAAAGTATATAGAGTTTAGGTAGAGATAGAAAGTATTCAGAGTTAACAAGAATAAAGTTTACTAGTTTAGATGTGTGGAGTTTAAGAGATAGATTTCAATTATTTATATTTGATAGAAAATAGTCTTCAAAAGTTCTAGCATGAAGAATGCATAAAAAGTTCATAACTTTTTGAATACCAAAAATGATTTCTGGTAGCTAGGAAAGTTTAAATTGTTATGAGAATTTAAAAGATGAAAAAATTATTCTCAGGTTTGGTAAGGCCTTGCACTCAAAGAAGTTCGGTTCAACTAGGAGCCAATTCAAATTCCTTAAAATCAAGAACGTTAAATCTAGCATGGAGGTGGGATTTTTTTCCAATGTATGGGAAAGTATATAAATTACTTATTTAGATACACTAATTTTACATGCGTATTGCGCGACTAATTTAATGTCTAATGTTTGTATTTAAATAAGTAATTAAAAGTATATTAATGCAAGATTATATAGGAGAAATTCATTATAGTTGTCATCAAAATTAATGTTTAATTTACACTTTTCTAAAAATAATTATCTAAATACTTATTGTAGTTAGTAGATATTACTTTTAGTTGGAATTACTCTAATTTTTGTTAATTTGCTTTTGGATAGGTTTGTAATTGTCTTCATCTTCGTTGCTTGTCTATTTCTTTTGAGTTAATGACATATGGGATCCTCCGAGTATAGTGGTTTTGTCACGTTTAGTCCTAAACTTTCAGATTGACCATGCATGGTCCTTCGACTTTTAAATTATTACCATCCGTGGTCCCAGTTAACCACTCATGGTCCTTCAACTTTAAAAATTTAACCAGATGCGGCCCTCTTGGAAGGACTATGGCTGGATAAAATTTGATAGTTGAAGGACCATTGGTGGTTAACTTGGACCGCAAATGGTAACAATTTGAAAGTGAAGGACCACGGGTGAAAATTTGAAAGTTTAGGACTAAACGTAGCAAAATCACTATACTTGAAAGACCTTAGATGGTATTAACTCATTTCTTTTTTGTTGGTAGTGTCTCATGTGCAATTGAGTTACTGGTGCTAGTTTGCAAAAAAAAAAAACAAAAAAAAAAAAAACAAAAACAAAAACAAATAAAAAAAATATTTGATCTAATTAGTTTTATTACATTAAAAAAATTGATGCTTGATTCCCTTATACTAATATTTATAAAATTGACCCGTCATTCTTGTTATTGCTTTACATATTTGAAGAAAGATAAACTTTACCATTTAAGATAAGATATCACTTCGCTATTAAAGCTTGCAAATCATTGAAAAAGTACATATATCGTTGCTTCTTCTTCTTCATCTTCTTTTTTTTTTCTCTTTTTTTTTTTTTAAAATTTTTTTTTTCTGCATATATTTTGTTGCTGATGAACATATTCTTTTGAATTGATTAATAAAAAAAATATTTCTGCATATATTTTGTTGCTGAACATATTCTTTTGAATTGATTATATATATATATATATATATATATATATATATATATATATATATATATAGTGTATGTATAAACACATTGCACAAAAGAATGTATTCCTCTAATTACAATGTACATGCATGTACTACATTGTAACAAAGACAGTAGTACTCAAAAAATATATATTTATATATAGTAATGCTATAGTGGAGATTTAAAAGATTTGTTTGAAAACATTTAAACGAATCAAATGTATGAAATAATTTTTTTTAGCAATTTAACTATCATAATTTAATTCTAAAGTAACACTAAACATATTAATTAATTTTTTGAGTTAAGACCTCTAATAGTTCTCCGAGTATTAGCGATTTACCAGCTGTGGTTATTTGAGTTTTAAATGACCTACAATGATCTTCCATGTTTTAAAAAATAACCACCCGTGGTTCTATTTTTTTTTTTTTAAATCCGAATTTAAAATGACCACGAGACATGCTAAAATGACCATTGGAGGTCATTAAAAACTCGGATTATCACGGCTGATAAATCGCTAATACTCGAAGGACCATTAGAGGTATTAATTCTTAATTTTTTTTCAACAAAAATATTAATAACATGCATATACGTACTCCGTATATTTTTTGCAATTATTTTCTCAAGATTTAATTGACAGGAAAGTAATAAATGACTTCTTAAAGACTTTTAATTTTAAACGTCTTAATTAAATACCATCTAATGACAGGAAAGTACTATCTGAGATGCTTGGCTTTTAAGTTAATATAAAAGTTTTTAAAAGATTTTTAAAGTCAAACATAGACCTAAAATAAGATGGAAGGAACGGTTGAACAATAATTCATAACCGATCTCGAAAGAGAAGGCTGGGGAATTGGTATTCCATTCTTGCACGTCATTTGGGACAATCCCATCAATGTGTTGCACTTTCTCACGGTCCATACTCCATACTACGATATGATATGATTTCTAGCTTTGATTTTATGTGCCGTCATCGTCCAATTATATTGAAATGAGTGTTTAGTAAATTAATTAGTTGTTAGCGGGTAATTATATGTAAAATAATTTTTTTTAAAGTTAATTGAAAAAATTATCCTGAACAGTTTTTTAAATTTTAGCATTTTAAAGCAAATAAGTTGTTACAAACAGCGTATTAATCAAACACTCATATTGATTGTTTAACTAAGTTATTATTTTATGTTTTTTTTTTTTTCCTTTTACATCCTCCCTTAATGCAATTTTTTTGCAATATGAAACCATTACAAATGAGTAATTAGGGATGGATCCAAAAAATTATTTGAGTGGGGGCGAAGATTAAATGATGTTAGAAATGTCAATGACACAATATCAAATAGTCATAATAAAGTTAAAATACAAAATACATTATAAAGTACAATAAAATGTTTTTTTATAGATTACATGATAGTTAGGGTCGGAGTAAAAAATATATGAGTGGAGTGAAAATCTGAAAACTTATGACAAAATATGAAACATAATCAATTAGATAAAATAATTTGAATAACAGTATATTCATAAATACTTTTTAATTTTAAGGAAAAATGACGCTTTTCCATCCCGAATTATTCATGTAAGCATATTAGCCTCCTCATAAGTATTACATTTTTCTTTTATAAGTAACAAACGCTCGTCAGCATTAATACATTATAAGAAAAATTATAATAGTTATGATAATAAACGCTTTATTTATTATTTATATTACATTTTTGTATATAAATATAACATTTCCATCTTGACTTAATCCATCAAATTGATTCTTGCACAAATGTGATCCTAAATGATCCCAAAATCGAAACCAAGTTTAATTAAGACACGTTTGTTTTGCTGCGCCGCTGTTCACAAAAATTTAAATGGCTACCTACTTTCTTGAGACTCTTTTCCCAGTTTTCTGCAATTGCTGCGTAACAGGATAAGAAACCTCACTGTCCTCACACGCAAGTCACAATAAATATATATAAAACCTCCACGCATCTCAAGAAGACTGATAAGATCCACAAGGACCACAACTCCCTTTTTTGTTTTTTTTTTGTTTTTTTTTTTGGGTGCATATAAAACCCCACGCATCCCAACAAGTCTGATAAAATCCACATATCTAAGAAAACAAAACTAGCAGAAATCCAACTTTTTATTATGGCTTTCTCAAGAACTTCTAAACCAGTTGGTAAGCAATTTTATAGTTTTCCTTTATTCTTCTTCTTATTATTTTTATTCCATGTGTTTGGTGTTTGGGTTATACTCAAGGATGGGAATGGAATGCAGGAAAGGGAATGGAAAATGGTTCTGAGATAACCCCTTTGGAAAAGCATGCCATGTTCTTTGATACCAACCATGATGGCATCATTTATCCTTGGGAAACATATCAAGGTTCTTTTCACTTTCATCCACATACATTCCTTTCATTCCATCTTTAATTATCTCTTACAACATCTCTGTTGTAGAATAGGTGGTGCATATATATATATATATATATATATATATATATATATATATATATATATATTAAAAGACTCATAATTTTTTACAAGATTATATATGTTCTATAAAGATATTTATATTTAATTCAAGATTTTTTACTGCTTAACTAAATAGGTTTTCGAAAAATTGGAAGTGGAGTTCTCCTCTCAGTTGGTGCTTCCATTTTCATTAATATTTTTCTCAGTTCTAAAACTCGACCAGTAAGTTTATCGCTCTATCTAGCTCATTTTTGTGGGAGTATTTGACAAAATATTTACAAGCTATAATAATTTCAATGACATGCATGCATGCAGGGAAAATGGCCATCTCCTCTCTTCCCCATTGTGGTTGAAAACATCAAACTTAGCAAGCATGGTAGTGATAGTGATGCATATGATAGCGAGGGAAAGTATGTTTTCTTCAAGTCCATCCTAGTTAAATTTATAAATTATAGCTTCTATTACTTTTTTAGTTTTTGCAAGCTAGTATGTACTCTAATCATGATTTTTACTTGTGAAATTGTGAATGATATGATAGGTTTATTCCATCAAAATTTGAAGAAATTTTTCAAAAATATGCACGAACTAATCCCAATGCCTTAACGTCTGGGGAAGTGGATGAATTGCTTCGGGGTAACAGGGAACCCAAGGACTACTCTGGATGGTATGTAACGTTTCACCTCCATCATTCCTATTTGAAAAGTATTAAAAATTCACAAATATAAAATACTAATTTTAATTTATTTTTGAAAGCATATATACGGATATGTGGCCTAGCTTGCAATAATTTTAGCATGTATAGTGCAACACTCTTAAAAATCTAAGAAAAATATAGCCTTTTCATTTCTTTATCTATTTCTTACATATAATTTTACTTTTTATTACTCGATGATTTATATTATTATACACACTTAATCTATGTTATCTGAAGAATTAAATATAATAAATGTACATTGATAATAAGGATTTAAAAGTGCCCTTACCTGAAAATAAGCCCAATGTATGATATTTAAAAAAGAAAAAAAAAATTGGATTCATTTCGAACTTTTGTGTTTAATGTCAGAACAAACAAATTTTACCAAGTCTAAAATGGAGGATTATTATCTTGAAAGGGGTGGTCAAGTGGGTGCAGTGGAACATAATTCTCATATGTTAGAATGTCATACGTTTGATTTTTAGCAAGACTTTCTCAATATCTTTGTTTGTCCAATAATGTAAATTTAAAAATCATTTTTTTTTATAGTGACACAGTAAGGACAACAACAACAACAAAAATTTGAATTTAAACTAACTATACTTTGGTTTTTTAAAAAAGTTTTTTTTTTTTTTTGATTCAATAGGAATTTAAAAAGAGTTAAGGATAATTAATAAAAAAGAGTTAAAGGATAATTAATTTTATGTAGTTCATCATAAAATTTTAAAATATAATATTTATATTCAACAATGAATATTATAAGAACTAAGATCTAGGCTTTTCAATAGGGTAAAAAGTACTTTTAAAATAATAGGTAAATAAGCAAAAAAACAAAAAACAAAAAACAAAAAACAAAAAACAAAAAAACAAAATATAATGAAGAAGATATTTTTGTCTAACAAAATACAATAGATAACATTTAATAGATAACATTTATAGTATGATGCACATTCATTTTTTATGTAAAAACGAAAAAAAAAAATGTTATAAGTCTAATAAACTCTTTACATATAATTATCCTATATCTATAGTTTTTATTTCTATCTCAAAAATAAAATGGAGCAATTCTTAACTCATGTCACTTTTAAAATAAATTAAAAAACAAAATTTTGTAGTGACACATGTATAAATAGTGATGGTTTTATCGGGACTAGATCCACCATAAATTAAGTATGAATGTATAAAATTAATTGAGTAAGAAAAAAGTAATATTATTGCTCGGGGCATGTAATGCATGCATGTGTGTGTATGTATGTATGTATGCTTGTTTGTTTGTTTGTTTGTTGTTGTTGTTGTTGTTACTTATGCATTTTATACTCTTTTTTATTGGATGCATGAAGTGCTTATTTTGGTGATATGAATTAAGAGTTAATTTCATTTTTGGTCTTAGATTTATATGTGTCAGTTCACTTTTAGTTCCTTTTAAGAACGTAACATTCTTTTTTGGTCCTAGTATTATTGTGACATGACATGATTATTATTGGTCCCTCATTAACAAAATTATTGAAATAGCGTTAAATAGAAAGACATTTTCATTTTTTTAACAAAGTGGGTTGATTCATTATATTTTTATTTTTATTTTTATTAAAAAAATTCATAATTAAAAACCTAAATGCCCTTGAATTTCACGAAATTTAAACGATTTTATTGGTCGATAACAAAAAATGGTCATGCCACAATAATACTAGGACCAAAAGAGGATGTTTTGAAAAAAAATACTAAAAGTGAATTGCCACCTGTAAATCTAGGACCTAAAATGGAATTAACTCTATAAATTAATTATTAAATGTTTATTAATACTTTTAAGTTAAAAAGATGAATATTTAATTTATTTTAATTTTTTAAATGTTTTAAAAGATGTTTAAATGGGGTGAGGCTTCCCCATCCAGCCATCCCTAAATAGTCCCCGTGGGGGTGGGGATGGGGATGTGGACAGTGCTGGGTGAGGGAGAAAGTTGGGAGGCGAGGGGGGTGGGGGTATGATTTCCTCTTCCCCTTCGCCACGTTGACAATCTTACTTTATAGTGTATCAACTAATAACTAATAGTACACTCAAGAGCTACTAATAGTGCATTTAAATTTATTGCACGGTAACATATCAATATAGCTTTTAGTGCAAGTAAAGTTCAGTGCACTTTTTTAAGATCTAGAATCCTTTCTTAGTTATCAACTGATGCACTCTGAAACTTATTTAATTTTAGTACATAACAAAAGTTTGTAATAATTATGAAATGACACCATATTTTTTCTTATCTTCCTATTTTTCATTTGTTGATCGTTCCAATATTTACGAAGTTAATTTTTCAATATATTTAGTCTCCAATATATTATTTGCTTATCCGTTTTTAGTCCTTTAATTATTATCAAATTGACAATTTTCTCCTTACGTCGTTAATTATCTCCATCTCAAAATTAAACCGTTAAAATCAATGCTTCCACCATTCTAATAACATTAGCATACGGATCATCAAGAGGCTCTTCATAGAAGTTTTGAAGTGCCTATGTTTGTATAATAAGGAAAGAAGTATGGAATTTATCACTCGGCAACAATCTAAGGATTAAAGGTGGATACACAAATAATTTAGAGATAGAGTCTACTATTGATATATGATCAAGGAGAAAAAGTGCAGTGTCATTTCTTAACTCCTTTAACAAAATGTTGTCACCACATTTAATTTATATTTAATTTTGGAGTTAATTTCATTTTTAATTCTAGATTTATAGGTGGTAGTTTATTTTTAATATTTTTTTTAGTAGAACATCCACCTTTGGTCTTAATATTATTGCAACATGACCATTTTTTGTCTTAATATTATTTTGATTTTTTTTTTACAAAGTCGGTTGACCTGATATATTTTTATTTTTACTTTTTTGAAAAAAATCTCTTGAATTGTATTTAAGGGAATTTAAACGATTTTAATTTGTTGATAAATGACCAAAAATGGCCATGCCACAATAATACTAGGACCAAAGGAGATGTTATGAAAAAAAGGATTAAAAATAGAATGACACCTATAAATATAAGACAAAAAATGAAATTAATTCTTAATTTTGAGCTTTTGTTTAAGATCGAGTTTACTAATGAAATAGAGAATATTTACAGGATTGGTGCCATAGCTGAGTGGAAGATACTTTATTTTCTTGCCAAAGACGATCAAGGAATGCTCCCCAAAGAAAGAGTGAAAGCTGTTTATGATGGAAGCTTGTTTGAACAAATGGCGGAGGAACACGCTTCAAAGCTAAAAGGGTAATTTGCACCCAAAAAAAAAGAAGCTAAAAGGGTAATTAACTAATTTAACATCACCCCACCTCTCCACCCCCCCCCCCCCCTCACCCCCTCACCCCCTCACCCCTTCCTAGTCAATACACTATCTGTTTAAATCTATTGGAAAAATGATAGATTTCTCGATTATATCACTTTAATTCAGTCTTTTTATTGTTGTTGTTGTTTTATTTTGGCTTTTATTATTACTAGTAATTCACCCGCGCAATGCACGGAAAAAATTATGTTATTATAAATATAAATAAAAAATAGAAAAATTAAAATATTTTAAATTATTTAATATAATAATATTTTTGAGCTTCCATTCGTCAAGTATTTATTATTTTTATAGAATACAAAATTACAATTAAAATTATAATTTTATATGGTTAATATAATCTCTAATTATGTGCATATTCAAATAAACTTATAGGGAGAATTTACATTTTTTTTTGAAAGCTACTGGCTCTATTACATTGTAGTATCTGTTCATATACTTTCTCAACCTACTGAATCACAAAGAACCAATAACGCCTCCATTGAGGTTCGAACTCACAACCTTTCAAAACATTTAAAATTTTTGATGAATTAATAGCAACTTGTTTTAAAAAAAAAAACATTTGTAAAAATTTTCAAAGTTCATTGGTTTATTTGACCCTTTTTTTAAGTCCAAATGAAAGTCCATCCCGGGTACCATTAGACCACATAGTCCTGTTATAGAGAGAATTTACATAATTACATTGATTTATTCTTAATTGTATTTTATCTATATTATAATTTTCACAATAAGAATAATAACTAAGATAATTACATTTGGAAAGCAAATTTCAAATTTTGTATGTGTAAATTTAAACTCTAATTGAACACATTTTTTATATGATTATATAATATATAGCTATTTTATTTTTAAATGTTGTGCTTTTTTTTTTTTTATCACAATACGAATAATAACTAAGATAATTACATTTGGAAAGCAAATTTCAAATTTTGTATGTGTAAATTTAAACTCTAATTGAACACATTTTTTACATGATTATATAATATATAGCTATTTTATTTTTCAAAAGTATATTTTTTATATGATTATATAATATATATATAGCTATTTTATTTTTTAAATATTGTGCTTTTTTTTTATATATAATAAAGGATGTTGTGGCATTAATTCTAACATTAATTATTTCCCAAATCATATAGCTTTATTATATAAATGATTATTATTAATTTTTTTTTTAGTATTTTGGTTTTGTTTTTATTAATCTATGTTTTTCAAAAAGTAGGCTCACTACAAGACAATGCACAAAACAACACTACAGCAAAAGTCAAATTAAAGGAGTCCCTGCAATGATTGGTGATTATTTGTAAAAGCTTTTATATAAATTCAAAGCATGTTTATGTCATTATTTATGTACATGTAGTATAGACTCTTTAAAGTATAAAATAATTATGAAATGATCAGTGTTTGATAAGATACTTTTACACTTTACTAGTATTTTTACCCGTGCAATTCATGGAATGAATTATTTATAATATTAGTATTTGTACCCGTGTAATACACGACTATTTTCTTAAAGTATAATTAAAAAATATTAAATACTCAAAAACATATTAAATAAAAATAATATCTTTTAAAATTTAAACAGAAATATAATTACAAATTATTAAAAAACCCTCTAGGTTCTCCATAAATTAGAATCTTACCATTTGAATTACTAACTCTGGAACTGTTACATACAATTGGCCATGGTTAAAAATATACTTTTCTTTTTTAAATCAAAAGCATAACTTAATTAAACATGGAAAAACTTTGCAATAATAACAAACCAACATAATTTAAAGTTTACCCTTGATTTTGATTTTTTTTTTATTACAAAGGAAACTTTGCAAATTGCAATAATAACAAACCAACATAATTTAAAGTTTACCCTTGATTTTGAATTTTTTTTTTTATTACAAAGGAAGGTGATACCCAACTAGATATTAGTGGATCACAAGTCACTTAATTCTAATTTTGATTTATTGTCATAGACATAACAGGATCGGAAATTACTTTCTTTGAAATTTAAATGAAAGTCTTGAGTCCGACGGAGTCAATGCCATTCGCAGGATCAACACATTGCACCGTACAATATTTCCATTCAAAATATGTACTTTAATGACATGATTTCTTAGTTTTGAAGTAATCAATTTTGTTCCATTCAAAATATGCGCTTTATTCAATTATATGTATATATAGTTTTGTTTTTGATAATTATATGAATGTGATATGAAAAAACTATGAATAAATATATTCGCAATTAAAATAAAATTGATATTTCAGATGTGTAATTAGTTAAAATAATAAAATTCATTAAAAGATTAATACAGGAAAAATTATTAATTATTATAAACTACAAACAAAAATTTATATTTTCAAGTACTAAAACTTTCTTATTACAGTGAGATTAATTAATTAATTAATTTATATATTAATTTCACAATCTAGTGGGTGTTGTCATATGATGAACTAACACACATGCAAATTCCTCTCATGTTTACTCATCTATATAACTTTTATCACAATAAAAATTAGTAAAGATATCAATAAATGTAATATACAAACAGTAATACTGCATTTTTCTATACCTAATCCAATTTATATACTACAACTAGTTTTTTACGCGCATTGCGAGATTGTGATAATGCCCAATGTTATTTTTTTCAATAAGTACTTTAAAGTATATCAAGACAAGATTATATTGATATTGTTTATGCATAGTTTTGAATGTTAAATTTCCCTATTAAAATAGGCAATTCTAAATTTACAATTGCAAGATAATACAGTCAAGATTTATTATAATTGTCAATAAAATAATTGCATAACTATGGTAGAAACCAAATACGGGACATAAGGGATAGCAAATAAAAATTAAGGCATAAAATATTAAATATATATTAATATTGAAGAACTAACTGCGGATTAATTGCCAAACAAAGACATTGCTAGATAATTTCCCACTTCAAATTGTTGTGATTTGAATACTCTTTTTGTCAATAAATCCATCAAGTAGTTAATAATTATATATTTTTTTTATTTTTTTAAAACTATTATTATTATTATTATTATTATTATTATTATTATTATTATTATTATTATTATTATTATTATTATTATTATTATTATTATTATTATTATTATTATACCCTTAGGTCATTTTACATATTAATCTAAACAACTAATTTTTTCAAATATCTTTTTAGCAACCGTTGATATAATTCGCAGGTCAAATTTTCTAATATAATCCGCTAACAACTGATTGTCAATCAAGGACATTGCGAGGTAGTTCTCACTTCAATTTGTTGTGTGATTTGAATACTCTCTTTGTGAACAAATTAAATCCCTCAAGCAGTTAATATGATTGACTTTATTATTATTTTTTAAAATTTTTTCATGTTATTAATAAAATACAATGGTAAATAAATATATAACATTATTTTGTATTAAACTTTGATATTTAATTAAATAATAGTGCACAAAAAAGATAATAGACAATGTAGTGAATATAATCTATTGATGAATTTGAATGTAAAGAATTTTTACACTGGAGAAAAATAAGACAATATAACTAATAAAATTATTTCTCTTAATTAATTTATTGATAATGAATAATTTTTTTTAATAAAGACATTGTAAGAACAATGTAGCGAATATAATCAATTGATGAATTTGAATGTAAAGAATTTTTATATTGGAGAAAATAAATACAATATATCTAATGAAATTATTTCTCTTATTTAATTTATTGATAATGAATAATTTTTTTTAATAAAGACATTGTAGACACATAATTCTAAATTAAAGAAATACATATGTATTATTTTTTATTATAGCTACTACATTATTATTTAATTTAATAAGAGTAAAATAAATTACTAATTACGCCAACTTTGATTGGGATGGGGTTCGAACCTAAGACCTCTCTTATTGAAATCAATGAGTAAGTTAATGGTGAACTAACAAAAATTAGCGGAAAAGATAATATTTAATGAAAAAGTTAACGGATAATCATATTCATTAAGGATAAGTTAGTAAATCTTAAAGAAAAATTAAAATCTGATAAATTCATTTGATTAAAAAATTTAACCGCCATTTTTTCTACCCATTATAGGCCTAATTCCCTTGGCTCTTATTAGTATAGTAGATAGTAGATAGTAGATAGATAGTATATATTTCAAGTGTATGCAACAACATGTACAACTAAAAATATATTCATCCCACTAATATCTTAGAGGAGCTTTGAATCCATTAACTACTAAATGCAATTACTGGTATTCAAAATTTAAATTATTCCATTTAGACATTTTATTGCTTATTCAAGAGGACCATTTTCTTCACTAAACCTGTACTCCCAACTCGACTGCCTGAAATATTCAAACAAAAAGAAGAAACATCATTCTTAAAATGGGTTAACATGCTTATATGTTTCTTTTTTTTTTCCTCTCTGTATTACCTTGAAAGCAAAAGGATTGTGCTAGATGTTTGAACACATTCAAACCAACAATTACTGTATTTTAGCACACATGGGGACTCAACAATGGTGATGCCGGTGGAAGAGACACCACATATTAACCTCTAAAACCCAAACGTCAACCTGCAAAAAACACAAATAAAACCAATTTGCAGGTTTTCTTAACAACGAAAAATGCAGCGGTTCCACACTATCCACACAATGACACTTCAACCACTGATTCTTGGCTCTAAAGCCGTGAGCAGGTTGTTGGGCGCCAAAGTCACGGAGCCAAGGAGTTTGCCTGCTAGTTGCAGGAATCCATTGCTAAGTCAACTACAGCAAGTCGCTAAACCCTACATGCGAGGAGCCACCATGCATTTCTATGTTTCTTATATGTTTAACAAATGTTGAAAACATATTTAGACTGCGTATATTATATATACATACACTATTGCACGACCATCTTCCCTTTTGCATTCTACATCTCCAACTCTTCAAGGTCAAGTGCCGAATTTGGATGCACAGATTCCAGTTGTTTCAAAATGATCGCAGAATCAAGGGCACACACAAAGCAACCTTAGTCGCCGTTGTTTTTCAGATCACAAAGCATCCTTTTGCTGTCTGCTACTTTCTTTTCCTTATTTTTTCTCTTCGTACATAGTCCTCGTCCTAGTCTTTCTCATAATATTTCACAAAACAGACATCTTTCATGTTTTTTGCAAAACGATCATTGAGTGTTCATCGTTGCCGTCTTCGACCACCACCCTTTGCCATGCACCGCTGCAGCCAGCTAAAAAAAAAAATCACTACTAAGCCAAGCCAACGCCAACCTCAGATCTGTTAAAAAAAAAAAAATCTAAGAGCAACTTGGAGAATATGGCATTCAATTCTCCAAAAACGTCCTCTCCGACTATCATTTTTTCCGCAGGTGTATATGCTCACAGTTCACACATCATCTTCGGTGGGATATGCATGTCTACAGTTGGTGCCACCACCTCCACCGACATCTTCGACAACATTAGCCTATGTATTCACCTGCAGAGAATATGATATATATATATATATATATATATATATATATATGAACGCAGTTGAAGGGCCATTCCAATTCCCATCAACACTGGAAGTTGAACCTTTTTAATTTTGTAATTAATTATGGTCAGCACAATAAACAAAGTATTGTGCTGCCCAATTTATTGAGATCTGATCCGCATGTAGATTGAGCAATGAATGCTGGTGTGCTGGTTGTTTTAGATAGAATCTGAATGTAATCAATTCTTAAATCTGAATGTAATCAATTTTTTTGTCCTTCCAAATTCAATACATATTGGATAAAGAAAAGTTCACAATTCAAATAAAAGAAGCATTTAATTAAGGCGGATATTATAGCATCCAAAACAACGTAGAATTGCTTGGGCGGGAAAATTTGATTTGCAAAAGTTTTTGCTATTATATAGAGTAAGATAAGATAAATAAGATAAGATAAGATATTAAGAATATTAGGATCGATATACAATTATTTAAATTATAACATCATATAATATTATATAGTGTAATTGAAGATATTGTTGTGTCGTTTATGTTTGTTGATATTATCATTGCTTGAATTCGAGCAAATAATTGCTCAAATTAATAGCTAATGTGTAAATATAAGCATGCGGTGCTGTAACTTTGGTGATTTTATATATCATTATTTTTTAGGATTTTTATAAATTGGCATGGACAAATATGCTCGCCCTCTAGCAACATAGTTATAGTAATCAATTGCTATCGTAATTCATTTGTATATATGATCTATTTTTTTGTGTAGATATATAGCAATTTTATCATTTTGGAAAAAAAAAAAAAACTAAATAATATCATATGTCCCTACAGGTATATGATATTATTTAGCATTTTGCTCTTACAGGCGAAGTACCATTCACCTTCTATGTCCAGAATTTCTCCAAGTACCAAAATTCTCCAACCTAAAAATTCATTACACAATATGTGAGAAATATAATGAGTGGCTTTTCAAATGATTTCAATACAAACTCTAAACCTATGATTTGTAACTTTTTGTTGTCATAAATATCCTTCAAAGAAATCATTGTGACATTTTCACTCCATAAAGCTTCCAATGATCCAGATCCAGTCAAACTTGAACTTGAGTTTATACTTCGTATTGGAGTCAAGAACCTAGGCAAACTGATTTAAACGAATTATCCGAAATCATCAAACGTGTTTGAAATAAAATATGATACGGAGTGAAAAAAAAATTGAACTGTCAAAATACCTCTCTGTGAAATTGAGGAACTCAGGGCATTCATAGTTGATCTTTATTGCAGTGTAGGAACTGGATATCCTAACCTCACCATCTAATATGATAAACAATTTTAAATAGTTATAATCAAATCAAATAAATTTATACCTGCCGCTGGGTAATTACTTACCATCATTCACCGTGGCTCTACACACCTGTAGTATAACGATTAGAGGATATGCTAAATCAGCATTATAGATAGAATCCATGTGCTCGTCCTACTGGGTAATCGTGAGCCGACCCCCCTGAGTGAAAACAACAATGAACGTGATTGACACCTAAATTTATACTTATACAAATGAAAAGGTGTTGGTCCCGAAGGGTTTGGGAACGAATCTAGGGGGGGGGGGGGGGGTGAATAGATTTGTTAGACTTTTTAAAATCTTTAAGAATCATCAAGTATGAAAACTTAACAACTCGCTCAGAGTTTTATATGCACAACGGAAATAGTTAACCTTTTTTAACGATTTGTTTTCACGTTGATATGACAAATAAAAATTATTTGAGTATGAAGATATACAAGTGCAAGTGTATAAATATAAAGAGAGAGATAGAGGGATTTTTATAGTAGTTCGACTATTAACGAAGCCTACTCCATTCTATTTCACAACTTGTGAAGGTTTGCACTATATCCGTAGACCGTAGTACAAGATTACCCCAAGATTTTTCCTCGTCAAAGAGCCGGACACAATCTTGCAAAGGTGGTTAATTTTTTTACTTCACCAAGTCTACTCCGCCTCTATCTACTTTCCAAATTGAGGAATAAAGATGAAGATGTGAATTTCTTCTTCCTCCAACTATGAAGCTTGGCTTAGAGATCTAGATGTTAAACTTGAAGTAGCACAAGCCTCCTGGAAATCTGGATCTAGAACTTAGCAAAATTTTCTCTCTAATTCGTCATAAATAGCTTGATGTTTCAAATAGCTAAGCTTTTTGCACTTAAATGTTTTCAAAGATCAGCATCTCATTCTGAACAAGAATGAGGTATTTATAGGTGTGAAAAATTGTCCGAGGAAAAACAAAATTTCAATAACCTATTATATTAACCTATGAGTAGAGACCACTGGGTACGTATAGTAATTCGAGTGTACGTGAGTTGTCAGTACTTTCCAGCCGTTGGTCCTTAATATGTGCTGAGCATATCACTTTAATTTCTGCACAAGGACATGACATTTAATGAAAGTTGACTTTGAGATTTGTTCCTAGGACTCGTTTTGTCCTGAACATAATTTCCCATGATTAAGGTTTCAAACTATACGTGCTTTGAGTATATCTCTGGTTTGTCCTATCGAGTTGTTGGTTGTACCATCGACACGAACCCTTTAAAAAAAAAAACAATCAAACATGATTGGTTGGCTTTACCAATCGTCCCATAAATGCCTCAAAAGAATTTCCTTTATCATTCAGCCTTGATAATATTCAAGAGGTAGAGCCTTCCATGATTTAGTCTATTGCAACCTCTTGGTCTTTGTCTTCAAATCTTCAGGTCTTCGAGTCTTCAAAACTTCAGGTCTTCGAAACTTGTTACAAATTGCTGAGAAATGACTTCTTAGATAGGGTCTTGATTCGTTGTCTTGATTTACCTGAGAGTTGTCATTTCGTATGACATTCATTTGAAACCCACGAGTGCTTATATTGTACACTCGGGTTGTCAATTCGAATACTAATTCGAATGAAGATGGACTCGACCTAAGTCTAAGACAATAAGCGAATTGAGGGGTCTAAACTCCTAAGCTTGGTATCATTAAAATCTAAGTACAAAATGTTCCTAATAATTTCCCATTTTTGATGATGCCAAAACCTATACTCGTTCTATCAGGCTGATATTATTCATGAAAGGATTTTCATTACATACAGCCGAATAGTCGAGTTTAACAAATATTTCTAGGGGTAAAAATTACTGTAAATTAAAACTCGACGCAACCCCAAAAACACACAACTTAATTTATCAAAAGAGTCATTACAATGATAGCAAAGGCAGATAAAATTCTTCTAACTATTACATGGATAATTTTATAAGAGACTGGCTTTGTTGTTAATGTCTTGAGTGTTGATTCGATCATTGATGATGCGTCTGGATTGAATAATGTCTTTACCTTCAATGTGCTTGTCAAATTCTGGACTGATCTTGAAAGTCATGTACTCGTTGAACGCATCAAGTATGTTCTCCGCTTGAACAACTCCGCGATCCCACCAAAGTAAGAGTTCTTGTCTACTCATTCCATTGACAAAATTCCGTCCAGACTTCCCCTTGATATCATCGATAGCTCTATGTTGAGCATGTTGCTCAGCGTCCTTTCCAATATTTGTGAGTTCAACAGCTTTGCCCTTGATTTCCCCTAGTTTTGCTATATCCTCCTCTCGCTGCTTATCAAGTTGGTCCTGTAGTGCGCGTATTTTGAATGCTTTCTTCTTATTTTCCTCATTGCTTTCTTCATTTTTGTACTTTTGATAGTCATGCCTGCGTTTATTGCTCCAGTCCTTGTATCGAGGGGTTATTTTACAACCAACAAATCTTAGACTACTTCCCACGACGTATGGTTCGAAGGGAACCCAATGTCCCTCGGCATTCCGAGTCATTACAGGTAGGGGTGTTCAATCGGTTAACCGTACCGAATTAATCGAAGTTTTTTTTTCTTTAACCGTTAACCGAACCGAAGTTTGCTCTACCGAATTCACCGAACCGAATTTTTTTCAGTTAATCGGTCGGTTAACCGAACTTTTTAAAGCTAAAATTTAAAATTCTAAAAATAACACCTAAACTAATAAATCCAATTAAAATAAAATACATATCATAATAAATTCATAACAAAATATAAAAAACATGAATTATAAACTCCAAACATCCCTAACTTCAAATTAGTATTTATATTTATATTATTATTTATATATATATTAAAAACTTCGGTTAACCGACCTTTCGAACCAAATTAACTGTTAACCGAAGTTTTAAAATTCCTTTAACCATTAACCGAACTGAAAAAATTCGGTTCGAAAACGGTTAACCGAACTTTGTCGGTTCGGTCGGTTAACCGAAAATTATCCGAAGTTTGCACACCCCTAATTACAGGTTTTGCAGCAGACCTTTTGGAGCAACTATGATGACGCAATCTTCCAATTACCCTAAAAGATTGAGCAATTTGAGAGCTTGAGGGTCTATACTGCTCAACATCTCGAGACCTTGACGTTTGTGGCGGACGAGATGATGAAGCTGGTTCTTGAGCATATGGTCCGCGAGACGAGAGGCCGAGTGGAGCAAATTCGATTTGTCCAGTAATGGTTTAAGGATAATCACGAAACAAAAATGTTAATAAGTGTAATTTTGTCCAGTAACAATGCAATGCACAACACTTTAGGTACAATGTCTACCTATATTAATATAGAAAAATAGACAAAAATTAGGAACATAACTTACATCGACACATATTATATTTTTAGATATAAAATAGATTTAATTTCATTTTTGGTCTTAGATTTATAGGTGGCATCCCACTTTTAGTTCTTTTTTATCAGAACATCCACTTTTGGTTTTAGTATTATTGTGAAATGACCAGTTTTGGTCATCTATCAACAAAATCGTTGAAACTTCGTTAAATAGAAGGACATTTTGATCTTTTTAATACAAACAAAGTGCGTTGACTCGTTATATTTTTATGTTAATTTTTTTTGAAAATTAAAAATCATTATTGAAGAACGAAATGTCATTGTATTTAACGAAATTTTAACGATTTTTTTTATAGAGGACCAAAATTGATCATGTCACAATAATACTAGGACCAAAAAGAGTGTTGTGATAAAAAAAAAAAAAAAAGAGACTAAAATTGGACTACCACTTATAAATCTAGGATCAAAAAGGAATTAACTCTATAAAATATTATTCAATACCGCTCAAGGCTACATAAATTTTTATTACAATATTAGGTACGTAAATTAAGCAAGTATCATGACACACAAATTTTTTTGTCTCATTCTAATATTTCTATGATGATGGTGCCACTAAAGTCAAATCCATAACCGCAATAAGCAAATGCAGAATAGTACGTATACCAAATTCCGAATTTAAGTCCATGCATAATCTAAATAATCAAACTATATTTGGCATTTTTTCAAATGTGTGCGCCTCAACTTTATTAAGTGAAAGTTATTCCTTTGACTTTTACAACACAATTTGGAAAAAATATAAAAAAAATAAAAAAAAACCTTTACAATGCATGCGTATAAAACCACATACATCCCGATGAATCCCAACAAGTCTAAAAAACATCCTAAGAACTCTAGAAAATAAAACAATTAGAAGTCCAACTTTATATTATGGCTTCATTAAGCAGTACTAAACAAGTTGGTAAGCAATTCTATAGTTTTCCGATTCCCATTCATCCTTTATTCTGATTATTATTTTTATTGTATTTGGTGTTTGGGTTATACTCAAGAATGGGAATGGAATATTGCAGGAAAGGGAATGGAAAATGGTAGTGAGCCAACGCCTTTGGAAAAGCATGTCATGTTCTTTGATACCAACCATGACGGCATCATTTATCCCTGGGAAACTTATCGAGGTTGATTTCACTTTTTATCGAAATGCATTCCTTTCATTCTTTTCTTAACCAACAAGGTGTTTTTTTTTTTTTCGATCTTTATCTATTTGTTCAAATATTTCCCCATCAACATTACTTTCTTAATTTTCTATACTTTTATTTTTATTTAATTCAAGTTTATTTTCATTTAATTATTTAGGTTTTCGAAGAATTGGAAGTGGATTTCTCCTCTCAGTTGGTATTACCATTTTCGTACACGTTTTACTCAGTTCCAAAACTAGACCAGTAAGTTTATCACTCTTCACTCAATTCACATGGGCATATGTCCATATATATATATATATATATATATATATATATATATATATATATATATATATATATATATATATATATATATATATATATATATGAAAAAAAAAAGGAGGATGGGTCGTTATATTACAAATTTTAAAAGTTTGTAATAATTATGGAAATGACTTCACTTCTTATGTACTTGATTTACTGTCCATCAGATCGTGTAGATCGATGGTTTGAATTTGTCCACAGGTTCTCACCTGTGAGGGGTTCTCATATGAACCGTATTATATAAAGGGTCCCGTTCAGGTGAAAATATCTCGTAATGTGAGGACGGGAGGACTAATCTAGATCGTACCATCAAATCATAATTATGTACGACTGAGATTAAAAGGAACAATGATTGTAGCATATTTTAACCAACAAATACCCGGAGTATTCCGGGGTTATCGATCTACAGGTAAGGGTATTAAATACTAGCTACTAATTCATTCATGTGAAGCTATTCCTACCATTAATAAGGGGTAATTTGCTACAAACATGTAAACAAAAGGAGTAAAATAAGGCAAGCGAATTTGAGGAATTAAAGAGAATAAAGAGCTGGATTTTTGGGGGTCAAAGTGTTTAATCACCTATTGCCAACTTAAAGTGAAACAATTAATTGGGTTAAATCGAGTGTGGAAGATTGCATTAAAATACAAAATAATTAAATCCCATAATTCCAACCCGCAACAAGACAAGTGAAACATACTCACTCCCATGAGATAGTGACAATAACCATTCAAGAATAAGCAATTTAGATAATCCCTTAACAAATATGCCCTCTCTCAAAGTGCAATAGTCAAATGCAATTGTGGGTGCCCTAATTTATATCCTAACTCTGATCAAGACACAAATATAGCAATGAAACAAGTAATTTAGGCCTTTAATTATAAGCATCAACAATATAGAATACAATTGCAACACAAGATATAAAATCCAAATATATATTTCATTAAGGAAATTAAGAACAAGACATATAGATTCATAGACACTTTTATACCCAAAAATCCCAAAGAAAAGCTTAGCCAATCATGGCTAACATAGTTTCAACAACAATAATATCAAGGAAGATACAAATAAACTTAAAGTAAAGAAGAGAGGAAGAGATTCTCCCAAATATGTCTTCCAAGCTCCTTTCTTTCAACTTGTTGGTAGCTTTTGATCTTCCAATCTTCCTTTCAAAGCTTTTGCAATGATTCTTCTTCTTCTAAGGTGTGGCCTGTGGGGATCCCTCCTTCTTCCTTTGGAGTGTAAAGAATCACCCCTTTTCACTCAATTTGTATTCCCAAACCGCAGCCCCCCAACTTAGGGTTGAGAGAAAATGATGCTATATATAGTGGGATGGAGAATGGAGGTCAAAAACAGGGCCGGCCCTGGGGCAAGGGCAGGCTGGGCCCTTGCCCAGGGCCCATTCTTGGAGGGGGCCCATCCTACCCCCTATGTATCAATCATTATTGTGTGGACCATATTTTGTCTACTGTAAAATAATGTACATTCAATACAAAAATAATGTACATTCAATACAAAAATAATGTACATTGTATTTCGGAGATGTACATTATTTTTGTTCTGAGTGTACATTATATTGTATAATGTATATTCAGTACAAAAATAATGTACATTTAGTATATTAAAAATGTATTTTTTGTTATGGTCCACATAACATTGTGTGGACCATAATTTGGACTGTATAAATCATATGTTTTAATTAAAGGTAGATTAGCGTGGTTGGTATTATACTTGGATCATAATTCTTCCCTAAATTAGAAGGCAAGTGTTCGAATCCTTATTTGCGCATTTTGGAAACAAAGTCCCTCAACTCTACTTTTTTGCTTACTTTGTAGTGTATTTTAAAAAAAAAATTACTGAAATTCCTCAACTCTTTTTTTTTTTTTTTTTTTTTTTTTTTTTTTTTTTTTTTTTGCTTATTTTCTAATGTAATTTTTTTTAAATTAAGTTTAATTTTGATTTTTTTGTGTTTAATAGTATTTTTAATATAGTTTATAAATATATAAATTTTTATATACTAATACTAAATATCTTATGAAAATTTGAATTAAAGATAACGAAAGTTCCTCCATAGTCAACAATTTTTATTTTTTATTTTAAATGCAAGGGTGTTTCTGGGAAAGGAAAACATTTCCCCAAAATGCTAAGTGCAAACGTTGCAAATCACAGTGTTTGCATTTTCAATGGTTTGGAGCAAACTGTTACTCAAAACTACTAAATTAGGTATGAAAGATATATTAATTAGGGCCTATTTTTTTCGTCATGCCCCGGGCCTATAAAATGATAGGATCGGCCCTGGTCAAAAAACACAATTTTCGCAGAAAAAATTCGCAGATCTAGAGCTCTCGACGCGTCGATTCATTAAGGCACAAAAATCTTGGTCATTCTGCCTCTTCTCGACGTGTCGAGAATCTCGATATGACGTAGGTTCAGTTTGTGGGCAGAATCAAACCCTAATCTTTTAAATTACTCTAACCAACTATATAAATACAAGTATTAATTAATACGACTATTTGTAACTTTATATAAATATATTAATATATTTATAAAGTAAATATAAAGTTTATTTATTACATTAACTCTATAAAATTACAAAAAATTATAAACTTTATATTAAAAATGTTAGTTTTCTATACTAAAAGTCTTATGTATATAATATTCATATGTAATATAGTATTAATTAAAAGAAAAAAATCATTATTTTTTATTGACTATCAGTGAACGAATTGATACCATTGAATTAATAAAAATTTACGTGATAATCAAATAAAAAAATTAATACAATAATAGTATGTGTATTTTTTTAGGACACTTAAAAAATTATTAGTTGTATTTGAAATTGTATTAAAAAACTATTACTTATATTTACATACTAGTATTTGTCCCGTGCGATGCACGAACAAAAATTTATAAGTATTGTTGTAATGTTATGATACAAAGCAGGATTAGTTTTATTAAAAATTTAAGTATAGTTATACAATGTAATATTTAAATGTTAAAGACAATACATGCATTCATATTGCTAATCTCATTTGCAATAATGATCTTACAAAGTTAAATGGGCAGAGAAAGACCCGGACCACCTCGTGGTTTACACACACAAAAATAAAAATAAAAATAAAAATCTTACAAATCTATTAATATGCATTATGCAGTCACACTTAGATGGGAAAATATTTTCCCTACTTGATTTTACTTTACCTAACTTTCTTTGTAAATTATTAAAAAACTAATTAAAATTACAAACTATTAAAAAGTTAGTACGTGTGTGTCTGTCTATATATATATATATATATATATATATATATATACTAACTTAATAAAAAATAAAAGTTTTAATATAACAAATGTTGGGCCAATATATAATTACATTTTTTTTTGCTTTATTATATATATAAAGATTTATGGGCCAAACCTATCCCATTGCCGCAACCTATTTTTCCAAAGCCCATTCACAATTTTGGAGGGAAAGCTAGTTTTGAAGGGAAATCTAGGATTCTGTTTTATTATATATAAAGATTTAATACTTAACACTTCATTTTGAGTAAATAAATTTATTATCATAAACTTAAAATTTTACATTCCAAACATATATTATATATAATCACACATGACATTTATTCAACAAGTTCAGTGTGTATGGTTGGTAAAGACTCTAGTTCTTTACTAGTAGGTTTAGGGTTTGAGCATTAATACATATGAATAATTAAAAAATTTTTAATGTAATATAATTAATTATTTAATTAATACAAAACAGGCTGGCCAGTTTACCCGCAAGTCTGTGCTTAGCCGGGTTGGGCCAAAAATCTCAATCCAGATTCGAACCGGGTTGGGTCGAGCCTAGCCTGTTTCTTCCCCAACTCGTGACGGGCCAGCCTGTATGGGTCGGGCTGGCCCGTTTTGACAACTCTAATTCACATACAGTATGTCGTGCATTCCTATACCGAATATCATGCATAGATAACTCTCTGGTTATGCATTCAAGCGTAGCCAAAAATGCAATGGACATCTCAATGTCGTATGATGCAGTGCACTAATGGACGGATACTCAAAAGAACGTGCAAGTGACATTTTCGTAAATAATTGAACATCGAAGTGCAAGTAAATGTACTACAAGTACAAATAAAATGAATAAAAGACATTTTTGGTCCTAGACTTATAGTGACACAAACAATTTTAGTCCTTTATAAAAAAAAATAAGACAATTTGTGGACACTCTTATTGTGACGAGGACAATTTTGGTCCACCGTCACTCTTCCCGTTAAATGCTCCGTTTGAGAGGGGGTATTTGCGTTTTTTCATCACTCCTCCTTCCTCCCAGAGTACGTAATGATACAGGGACCAAATTAGGGCACAAACAGACAAAAATATGTAATGATACAAAATGAGCAATCATATTCTGTAATTAGCAAAGACAGTCACTAATACCAGAGAAATAAATCCAAATAAACCAATTATGGGGATCAAAACTAATCTTAAATTATCAACACATCTGGAAGGCTGGAAAATCGACAATAATGAATAAGATTTAGGGAAATTATGGCACAAAATGAAAAAAATCTGGAAGACTGCAATTCTGGAAATAAAATAGAAGCACAACTAAGATTTATGGAAATTAGTGCACAAACAGAATTAGGGCACAAACAGTCTGAACATAAGCACAACTACACACACAATTGCACAAAAAAAGGGCATATTTGATTGGGATTTATCAATTAAGATTTAGGGAAATTCTCAAATTATGGCAAACTAATTAAGATTTAAGAGAATAGAAAGAGGGTGCGAAGTACGAACAAGTGAACAACAAACCTGAGGCTTGAGTAATCTCATTATCTAAGCAGCTCAGCAGCGAGCCAGGGTGCAGAACGAAACTGCGCAGCCAGCAATGATGGCAGAATTGCGGAACGCAACGGAAGACTGGAGTCGCCGACTGGCGAGCAGCGGAGCTTGAAGTTGAGGACAACCGGAGCCGGCGAATGGCGACTCGTAGAGCTTGAGGTTGAGGACGACCGGAAGGCGGAGCGTAGGGTGCAGAGCATGAAAACCTAATTTTTGGGGCTAAAACTTCGTATGACCAGCTCTAGTTTCAGAGCTTGAGAAAACAGTGGAATGGTCTTGGAAGAAGGAGGTATGATGAAAAGACGCAAATACCCCCTCCCAAACGAAACATCTAACGGAAAGAGTGACGGAGGACTAAAATTTTCCATGTCACAATAAGAGTGTCCACAAATTGTCTGATTTTTTAATGAAGGACCAAAATTGTCCATGTCACTATAAATTTAGGACCAAAAATGTCTTTTACTCAAATAAAATTTACACTGAGCATCAATTCGTACCACAACAGTGTCACAACATTATTTCATTATGGAATGGTTAATGGGATGGGATAATGAAGGGTTTGTATTCCATTCCCCTCTCTCTCTCTCTCTCTCTCTCTCTCTCTCTCTATATATATATATATATATATATATATATATATATATATATATAGAATTGTACTCGGGTGCGAATGAAGCGCCCAGGAGGGAATATGCGAACGAATCAGCGCGTGACACGTGTCCAGATCTAATGGATTAAAAAAAACGCGGTGGTATTTTCGTAAATAATCGAACATCGAAGTGCAAGTAAAATGTATTATAAGTGCAAGTAAAATGTACACTGAGCATTAATACTAAGTGCACCTATAGTTATAAGTAGATGCACCTTAGTTATATGTAGTTGCACCTATAGTTATAAGTAGTTGCACCTAGTTACATGAATGTTTGTGAGTGGTTTTCAGAGGTAATAGTGCCCACTGAACTCAGATCAATGAATGTTAACAAGGCAAAATTACATGCATTTGCAGGTGAAAGTAGGTGCACCTATAGTTATAAGTAGTTGCACCTATAGTTATAAGTAGTTGCACATAGGTTCATGAATGTTTGCGAGTTGTTTTCAGGGATATTACTACCCGCTGAACTCAGATCAATGAGTGTTAACAAGGTAAAATTGCATGCACTTGCAGGTGAAAGTAGGTGCACTTGTAGGTGAAAGTAGGTGCCTCGATCAATGAATGCAGTAAAAAACTACATGCACTTGCAGGCGAAAGTAGGTGCACTTATAGGTGAAAGTAGGTGCACTTGTAAGTGATTTTACTTGCAGTTCGATGTTCAATTATTTACGAAAATGCCACCGCTTTTTATTTTTTTTAATCCATTAGATCTGGACACGTGTCGCGCGCTGATTCATTCACATATTCCCTCCTGGGCACTTATTCGCACCAGAGTGCATCTCTCTCTCTCTCTCTCTCTCTATATATATATATATATATATATATATATATATATATATATATGTATGTATTAGCAGGTTCCAATAAGAACATGCTCTAGGATAAAAAATGTTGATTAATAATTTAATATACACAGATATATAGGGGCCATTTCTATTGAGAACATGCTTTAAGGTAAACAATGTGAATTCATCTCATTCGTCATTCTAGAATGATAAAATGCTGAAAATTAGAAAAAAAAAAAAAGAGACAAATATATGTGTCTAATAGTGGACAAATTAAATAGGAAAAAGTCAAATATTGATAGGTTGTTTAATGTTTAGTACTTTCGGTGCCCTTATTTATTTATTTTTTTATATTGTACATGAACGGTAAAACTAATATAGATACCATATAGTAGTTTTATTAATGAATTACTTACCAACCATCCTAAACTATTCAATTGATTTATTCCTGCAGGGAAAATGGCCTTCTCCTCTCTTCCCCATTGTGATTAATAACATTAAACTTGGCAAGCACGGTAGTGATACTGGTGCATATGATAGCGAGGGAAAGTGTGTTTTCTTTCTGTCGTGCTTGTTTAATTTTGTTAATTCCTTTAGATTATAACTTCTATTACTTTTTACTTTTAGCATACTCTAATCATTTTTATGCATGAATTTTTATTTTTATTTTCACTACTCTAATCACACTTAACTTGCCTGGATGAAAGGTTTGTTCCATCAAAATTTGAAGAAATTTTCAACAAACATGCACGAATTGACCCCAACGCCTTAACGTGTGCGGAAGTGAACGAATTACTTCGAGATGACAGAGAACCTAAAAACTATCTTGGATGGTACGTAATGTTTCACTTCCTTTTTATGTTTTAAAACGTATTTTGACACTCCTGTTTCAAGAGTATTACTCCGTATAATATATACAAAGTACTAATTTTATTCCCAAAAGCATACATTTTCACTATGTTCCTTGCATTATTTTAATGGAATAAAAGGAAGATAAATAGTAGAAGAGGAAAAACTATATTAAAGCATCCTTTATATAAAAACAATGATCAATATTAAGACCTCAAAAAGTAAATTAAGCATGCTTACTGCAATCCTCTTTAAAACCTAGGAAAAAGCTGGCCGCCTATTTAGTAACATAATTAGCTTATCAGCTAATTTTATCTTATTTGACTACTATTAGTTGTTTGATTGGATTAAACAATCAATATGAATATTTGATTATGCCCTGTTTGGTAAAACAGTTAGCCTATAAGTCAATTTTGGCTTATTTGACCACTATTAGTTGTTTGACTTTGTTTAAAAGTCAATATAAGTGTTCGGTTAATTATCTTTTTGTAGTTCAAAAAGCTACTCAAAGCAACTTTTTCAATTAGTTTTTTGAGAAAAGAAATTATACCAAACAACTATCAACTAACGGCTAATTTACCAAACACCTTTCTACAATCAGCTAATGTTATCAACTAGTTATACTTTCTAATTAACCCAATCAGCTAACAGCTAACAACTATCAACTAACAGTCATTTACCAAATAAGGGCATTCATATAACAACTATTACCCTCTAATTAGTTTTTTTGTAACAACTTATTGTTTCAAAATGCTAAAATTCAAAAAGCTATTCAAAGTAGTTTTTTCGATAAGCTTTTTGAGAATATCATTTTAATGTAATCAGCTGTTATAGCTAACAGTTAATTTACCAAATACTTTTCTACAATCAGCTAGTGATATCAACTAATCAAACTTACAAATTAACTCAATCAGCTAACAGCTATTTACCAAACACCTAAGCATTTTCATTTCTTTTTATATATGAAGTATTAAAATAAATGTACATTAATTTGATATTTAGGATTTACAAGTGCCCTTACCTGAGAAAAAAAATAATCCAAATATGATTTTTTTTTTTTTTTTTTTTGGTGCATTTCAAACGGTGATGGTAAAAGTCAGAACAAACAACTTTTCATTATTAAGATCTAAAATTAAATGTAGTATTAATGTATAATTGATTCTTGAGCTAAACGAGTTTGAAAAATTAAGTATTTTGGACTGAAAGAATTTGAGAAAGTACTTTAACTAGTTCATATCAAAACCGCATTTTTTGTTCATAACATGTAAATATCACCATGTCTTCAAAAAAAAAAAAAAAAAAAAAACATGTAAATATCACCAAGAGCTAGCTTAGGTGCTTAAATCTCAACTCCCAAGAGGCCCCTCTACCTGTTTTGAAGTGCCTATATATGTATGTAAAACGGGAGAACTATGATAGGGAAAGATAGCTAGTGAAGCCATTTAATTAAATTCCATAGTTAACCCCCATTTCAATGGTTTGAAGATAGAGTTAACGGTATGGGATCTTGGCAGAATAATCACTTTAGTAACAATTAATGGACTAGATGTAGATGCACACATAATTTAAGAATTGAGTCCACTATTAGCAAGTGTCAATTCTCACACCTTTATTAGCAAAAAGTTATTATTACATTTAATTTATATTAAGTTTTGAGTTCTTGTCGGAGAGTTTACTAAGAAAATCAAGATTATATATTTGCAGGATTGGTGCGATATCTGAGTGGAAAGTTTTGTATCTACTTGCCAAAGACGATAAAGGAATGCTCCCCAAAGATAAAGTAAGAGGTGTTTATGATGGAAGCCTATTTGAACAAATGGCGAAGGACCACGCTTCAAAGCATAAATAGTAATTAATTAATATCCCCTTTCCCCTTCCCAATCACTACAATATATATTTATTTAAATTTATGGAAAAATTGAAAATTTTGATCTCTCAATTATGTATTTTAATTCATTTTTTTTAATATACTATTTCAGAGTGAAGTCTATCACATAAAAAGGACTCCCCAGTCCCCATAATGATTGGTGATGCTATAGTAAATGCTGGCGTACCTTTTACAATGTATAAATTCAAAGCATGATTATGTAATTTTATGTGTAATGTAATACAAACTCTTTAAAGTACAAAATTAAATAACATATGAAATAAATGATTGCATTTGCATTTAAATGGTTGCTTTTATACTTTAATATCAAATATATATATATATATATATATATATATATATATATATATATATATATATATATATATATATATATATATATATATATATATATATATATATATATATATATATTAGTTTTTTACGCGCATTTCGCGATTGGGATAATGTCCAATGTTTTTTTTTTAAAAAATAAGTACTTTAAAGTATATCAAGGCAAGACTATATTGGAATTGTTCATGCATAGATAATTGAATGTTAAATTTGCGTATTTAAATATGCAGCGCAATTCTAAGTTTACAAATGGAAGATAATATAGTCAAAATTGATTATAATTGTCAATAAAATAATTGTATAGGTATGGTTGAAACCAAATACGGGACATAAGGGAGAGCAAATAAAAATTAGGGCATGTTGAAGAGCTAATTGTTGATTGCCAAACAAGGACATTGCGAGATAGTTTTCCACTTTAATTTGTTGTGTGATTTGAATACTACTCTTTTTGTCCATAAATCCCGAAGTAGTTAATATGATTGGCTTAATTATATTTTTTTATATTTTTTTTAAAAATTATTATTATTATTATTATTATTATTATTATTATTATTATTATTATTATTATTATTATTATTATTATTATTATTAAATTATAAATATATGTATACCTTAGGTCATTTTACATGTTAATACAAACGGCTAATTTTTTCAAATATTTTTTTACCAACCGTTGATATAATTTGCTGGTCAAATTCAATAATATAATCCGCTAACGCTTACCCCTAACTGCTGATTGTCAAACAAGGTCAATGCGAGGTAGTCAATTTGTTGTGTGATTTGAATACTCTCTTTATCAACAAATCCCTTAAGTAATTAATATGATTGACTTTATTAATTATATTTTTTTTTTAATTTTTCATGGTATTATATAATTCTAAATTAAAGAAATGCATATGTATTATTTTTTTGTTGTAGCTACTAAATTATTATTTAATTTAATAAGAGTAAAATAGAGTACTAATTATGCCAACTTTGATTGGGATGCATGGGGTTTGAACCTAAGATCTTTCTTATTGAAATCAATGAGTAAGTTAGCGGTGAAGTAACAGAAATTAACGGAAAAGATAATATTTAACGGAAAAGTTAACAGATAATCATATTCATTAAGGATAAATTAGGAAATCTTAAGAAAAATTAAAATCTGATCAATCTGAGCCATTCATTTGATTAAAAAATTTGACCGCCATTTTTTCTACCCATTATAGGCCTAACTCTCTTGGGCTCTTATTAGTATAGTATAGTATATATATATATATATATATATATATATATATATATATATATATATATATATATATATATATATATATATATATATATATATATATATATATGTTGGGAAATGTACAACGTCAACGCACGATTTGAAAGCCTTTTAAGAAGCACGGACACTATGGGTGTATGGTTGAAAGGAAATCTGTGCCGTGTTATAATAACACTACCTTAAAAGCGTTATTTGCTCGGTGACGATGCAGTCCAAATCCTGGCACGCTTTTGACAGGCTACACAGACCGACTACGCTTAGTTCGCACCAACTATAGCGCAGGCGAACCTGACTTTGCTTAGACTCAAGGAGACAAAATGAATAGGAGTGAAAAGGCTTCGTAGAAATTGTTGCCCTCATTCACAATGTAGAGAGTTGCTTATATACTGAAGAAAGCAACAGAAAGCTTCAATTTTAGCCATGTATTAGCTGAAGATTAGGGAGAGTACAGTTGGGAGTACTACACGTGTCCATAGTCTCCTTAATTTGCTGAACCAATTTCTAATGAATATGCGTATGATGATAATGGGAGACAAAATCAAACTTCTGGTTTGAATGTTTCCAACAATCCCCCACACATTCAAAGTAGAAGGCTGAAAAGGATAATGTCTAAGCAATAGAAATGAGTTGATCTTAATGTCAGAGTTTGAGAACTTGAACTGACACGTAGTGACACTGAGTAATTTTCTTCCCGGGAGTGATGTGAATCTTGAACTCACCAGTTAGATAAATTTTGAACTCGAATGCACACATCAACTCAAAAAGTAGGTCCTACAAATGTCAAACTCTTTGACTTCTTATGAACACCCTTAGTATTAAAGAATGTTACATTTGTCTCAAATATAGACTTCTACCCTGTCAAAGTCTATCACAACATAGACTTTTAACTCTGACAAGTCTTACCGCATTACAGATTTTTATGTCTTATCAAGTCTATCTCAATATAGACTTTTAACTCTATCAAGTCTAACTTAGTATAGACTACCATTAAAGGCTTATAGAGTAGTTAAAGACATAAATCAGTTGTAAGTCTTTTCTTTCTATCATAGGCACTGTTATTTGCAACGCAAACGACAGTTTGTGTATCACAATGTGGTGGAGGTGTTGGACACCCCCACAACTGCACGGTTATCACCATGTTTCTTAGCCACTCAGCTTCTTGGGATAACCCCATTATCTTTCATAAGATGCGGTTAGCCCTTTTCTACTCAAGTTCGGGATCTCTTTAGGTCTACCTCAACATAGACCATCCCAATTGAGTATAAGTCACCAAGAGCACTTTGTACTCATGTCATTATGCGGTGAATTCATTAGGTTTGTTTCAACAAAACCACCCTTTCTCAAAGAGTTATGAATTCATTAAGAGCTGTAGCTCAACCTCACAAGTACACACACTGTCGGAATGACCAACTAGTGTACTATTTTGTAACTCTTTTCATGGCTTCGTTTGACCACAGAAGTGGGATCCACCAGGAATTCATTACCACTTGGGCTTTAAGTCCTTCCAATGAGTCAGCGACTAATCCTCATAATTAGCCCTCAAGTAAGTTGATTCCCTTGATCAAACTTACATGCACTTTGACGAGTACTTCGTTTACTCGTAAATAATCCCTTGAGATTTTCATGCTTAACATGAAACATTCTCTTTCATCATTATTCTCAATACCACAGAGAAACTTTTGATGAAAATATAGGGAGTTAATTATCCCCACAATGCAACACTTACAAATATTTTGTCAAATGTATTTGATCTCTTACCCAGACGGATCTTTGGTGCCCAACATTAGCTCCTTCGTAGACTGAGTTTTGCCGATTTGTTTTGTGGAGCATTATAGAAGCTTCGCACTCTACCTGATACATACTCAAAAGTTATATATATATATATATATATATATATATATATATATATATATATATAGATGAACAATCATATAGGAACTCATCTTTAGGTAGGAACCTAGGAACTCATCATAGCCATTTATTTAGGGTGATCAATGGTTTAGATTAAAACATATTTTTATGAAATTTTAGAGTTGATTTTTATTTATTTTAAATAGTTGGGGGTATTAAGGGTATTTTAGTGCATATATTATTTATTTATTTATTTTAAATATACAGAGTTAGAGATTGACAGTATCCTAAATTCCTAATTCCTAATTCCTAAACTCTATTATCAGTAAACCCTTTCATAGTACAGTCCTTATGCATTATGCAACCTTCGCCAAAATTATGCAGAATCGTTCAAGAACTCTCGAATCCTCACCTTCACCGCAACATTTCGTATTGCCCAAAAACATAAGCATATAGCGAAAACGATGTCGTCGGAGGCTTCATAGGAGAAGAAGGTGACGACGAGCAGTTCCGATGGAGAGGTGTTCGAGTTGTCGCACCTGATGATGATGAGGAAATTATTTGTACCATTTTCTAATTGTTGTAGTTGTAGCAGGTTGTTGGTTATGTTGGTCTTTGCGCTGTCTTTCATTTTTGTTTTTAGTATAAGGTTTCTCATTTAGTTTCCAGCTTTAATTTGTCTTTGTTGTTGGGTCTTTATGTTGGTTTATCTTATTGTAATCTCGTCATTTTGGGAGTTTGTTTAGAGCACAATTCAAGTGTAAACCAAAATGTTTAACATCTTTTTCCTACACAAACTAATTATGCAAATTATGACACATACAATGTAACTTAAGTGCACACAGTCAACCCAAGTGCACATCCTAATCTATCAACCCAAGTGCACACCAATTTGTTTTACGTTTTTTCATTCATATACTCATTATTTATGTTATGGCACACAGAGTTTAACTTAGGTGAACAACATAGTCTTTAACATCAATCTGGTTTTGGTGCATACACACATTCGTTAACCTAAATGCACAAGGTATTTCAATTCGTATATCAGTTTTCTTGAACATCATGGCACAAACTTGTTGACCCAAGTGCACACACATTTCTATCTAAGTGCACACACAGCACAATCGAAGTGCACACCAAAATGGTTAACATCTTTCCCTACACAAACTAATTCTGCAAATTTTGGCACACACAGTATAACCTAAGTGCACATAGTCATCCCAAGTGTACACCCTAATCTATCAACCAATGTGCACACAGTTCAACCCATTTGCACACCAACTTGTTTTGCGTCTTTTCATCCACATACTCATTATTGACGTTATGACACACACAGTTTAACCCAAGTGCACAACATAGTCTTTAACACCAATCTGGTTTTGGTGCACGCACACATTCGTTAACCTAAGTACACACACGATATTTTGTATATCAGTTTTCTTCCTAATTCTGCAAATTATGGCACACACAGTGTAACCTGAGTGCACACAACAGTCAACCCAAGTGCACATAGTTCAACCCAGGTGCACACCAACTTGATTTACGTCTTTTCATCCATGTAATCATTATTTACGTTATGGAACACATAGTTTAACGCAAGTGCACAACATAATCTTTAACACTAATTTGATTTTGGTGTATGCACATATTTGTTAACCTAAGTGCATACGGTATTTTGTAAACTGCTTTTGTTTTTCATGCATTATTAGTTCGAACCAAGATGGTTGTCGTCTCATTAGAGAGTAATTAAAATCTAAATCCCTAAATCCTAACATCTAAACTCCCTAACATACATATGAGATGATACATGTGGACAAGGAC